GGTCAGTCCACGATTCAGCAAACATGAAAACAAATTGCGTATACACCAGTATCCAAACATGCTATAGAGCTGAAAATTGCAGTGGTTTACTGTATATCCAAAGAAAAGAAAGATCTCCAAAGATGCCTTTAAAGAAATCTTAGGTTTTTTTAAACTAATGAAGATAGCAAAAGAGAATGATTTATTTTAATTGTTTAGTCTGAATTAATTATTGTTCCAAAATATTTTTTTAAAATTCTTAAACTAAATATATTGTATCTAAGAATTTTTTTTTTTTTTACCCAGATGTTTAAAAAGAACGTTTTAGAGCAGTAATAGCAATACTGTGATGGCATGACACCATGTTGTTTTTAATTCAAGGTTATCATACTATTAGAATCTTGTATCAGCCCATGCCTAATACCCATATTCAATATATTATTAATGTAACAAAGCTGCCACTGGACAAATCATATTTCTTCTTAAATGTTCTAATAATACTGTGCACCCCAAATAAAAGCGATGATCGAGAGCTGAGGAAAAGTTGCTAGCTTTTGTTAATCAGCCGTATGCACACAGTTGCCTCAACAGTGGTGTGAAGAAGCGACAGCAGAGTAAAGCAAGCTGTTGCTGTAATCGTATCATTATTCGTTTTTGCAGTTGTTGTTTTTGTTCGCAGGGCACGTTCAATTGCAGGCTAGCCAAAATGCAGGCTACCAAGACGTCTATAATTGGGTAATGATTAGTTGGTTCTCTCTCTGAAACCCAACAATGACTTCAGGGCCACAGCTGTTTTTCCCTCAAAAAACCCTGCTGTGTGTTTTGAGTGTTTGTGCCAGTGAGTTTGCAGCTATAGTGAAGTTTGTTTATAAATAAACTCTTACTCTTCGTTTTTTTTAATCATTGATCACAAGCAGACGTTTTGTATATGACATTAACAGTGTCCACAATAAAGGAAGGAAACATTTTAATGTTTCTTAGAAAAATATGTGCATGGAATTTGTGTGGTTTTGTGAAAACACTTTTGCGTTGTCTTTAAAAGGTCAAATTAGCTGTGATTTTAATAGACGTTGAATTTGACAGTCATGTGGGGTTTGCAGCGTTTCACTCTGTGATTATCTCTCGTAGTTTTGTTTCATCGTGTTAGTTTGATTTGACAAGTTTGACATTTTCAGATTTTAGTAAACATCTAATTATCACAAGTTTATTTCAGAGTCAATGAAATGATAAAAGATTAGACCAAGCTGTTTTGCTTGTTTTTTTATTGAAAAATAAGAATATTGTTAGATATGCACTCAAAAATATTAAGGCCCATTTAATATTTGTGTTGAATTGCATATAAATCAATTTAATGTATATTTTGTTCCATCCATTTAGATTTACAGATTCAACATAAACTATAAGTTTACAGTTATAACCAGGTAATTAAATTTACCACCATCTTTATCTGTCATATAAAATGACAATGTAAAAATGTAATGTTTCTGCTCATAAAATTAAGTTTATTAGTTCATATAAATATTTGGTCATTCAAATGGATGGAATGAATATAATTTCATACTAACAAAAAGTATCTATATATACTATATTCCTATAACCATGTTTTAATACTAATAGTACATAAATTCTACTTATTGTAACATTTTTAAAAACCTGGCTATTAGAAGATGGAGGCAATCCCAGTCTTCAATCCCAGTTGTAAAAGCAACAAATACTAACTTCTAGTTGATCTTCTGGAAAAGTGGCACAAGGTAGATTTCTCTGATGAATCATCTGTTGAACTGCGTCTCAATCATAATATTGCAGAAGACCAAAAGTGTTTTGAAATGAATTTGCAGAAGGCAAATTCTTCAGTAGGATAGCGCTCCTTCTCATACTTCAAAAAAGGTCAAGGTGCTCCAGAATTGGCCAGCCCGGTCACCAGACATAAACATTATTGAGCATGTCTGCTGTAAGATGGAGGAGGCATTGAAGATGAATCCAAAGAATTGTGATGAACTCTGGGAGTCCTGCAAGAACGCTTTCTTTGCCATTCCAGATGAGTTTATTAATAAGTTATTTAAGTCATTGCAGAGATGTATGGCTGCCGTCTTCCAAGCTTATGGGAGTCATACACAATAATTATTCTTTGTTTTATATTGTACATTATTTGTTAAATGAAAAGACTTTTGCCTAAGCAAAGTCAGACCTTACTGTTCTAATTAAATATTTAAAAATTAAGGCATGATCATATTTTATTTTGGTAAAATAAGCATAATCTAGAGGTCTTTGCCTTTCATATAAGCCACTTCTGATACCAATTGATCAACTAGAAATTGAGTTATTATTTGTAGTTCCTAAAACCTGGAAAGGCTTTTGTCAGGTAGTGTGTTCATATCATTGTTTATGTAAAATGCATTTTTTTTTACATAAATAAAAATACATTGAATAATTATTCATGACAGTAATAACTGTTTGTCTTTTTTCAGGAGTAAATTGTTCTTGACTAAAAGCCTGAATTTGAAAATGGGCAAAAAAAGGTTTAGCAAAGTTTCACTCATGGAAGCAGGACTTCTCAAGAATTAAGTTCGGAAGTTTCTGTAATTCGTTCCAGGAAAGCAAAGATAGAACACGGATCAAGGATAAAAATGAGGAAAGACTGAGAGCGGCTTCATGTCCGTATGAGGGAAAAGCGAGCAAAGTCCCATGTTTAACGTGCAGTGGAGAAGTGGAATGTGCTGACATGGCACTTCGTCTGAACTCCAAAATTAATAATCAGACGTGGTTTAGCCTTGCACTGCCAGGAGGCGAAGGCAGCCAAGCTCTGGCCTCTTTGTGGTGGGCCTGAAAAGGAGGGTCTGGCACACGGCCAGTGGGGTTTTGCTTGTTCAGGATTTTTGATTAAATCGTTTATTGTGCTCCACTCACGCAAAGGGCCAAGGCAGAGCTCGCTCCAGAAGGCCTGGAATAAGACAGGGGGAAACTGAGGCTTTTTTTAACCAGTAAAAGGCTTTTGTATGATAAAGACTTTTTTCTTTGTTTTTTCATCCGCATGTTTAAAAATAAAGGAGCCTATAGATGAACCAAAAAGCAGTTCACAGTGATGCCATAGAAGAAATTTTTTAGTGAAAAGTACTATTTAATAATAATAATAAAAAAAAAACTTTTAGCATTTTAAAGAAACTTTGAGCATCCAAGATTCTATGGGAGTTGAAGGTTCTTCACTGAACAGCTGATTACTTTTAAGAATGTTTAGTTTTACGTTTAAAAATTTAGTTTAATTAATTAAACAAAAAATTAACTTGCATTATGTTTTTAAAAAGTATGTATGTATGTTTGTATGTATGTATGTATGTATGTTTGTGTATACACACACACACACACACACACACATATATCTATATATATATATATATATATATATATATATATATATATATAAACACACACACATGCATATGTCCTCCTGACACCCTAAGAATTTTTTTTCTTTATTTTTTCTTTGATTTCCAACATACTTTGGGTAAAAACTAAATTCTACAATTTAGAGGTTTTACATTTTGTTTTTATTTTTAATTTTACAGCATGTCCACTGTAGTGGACCACTATATATATATGTGAGTGTATGTATATTATGTTCCTCAATAACAAGCTAAAAAACGAAAGAAAAACAGCAAATATTTAAATCTGAATATATGAACATGAACAATGTGAACCTGAACAAAAGACTAACATTAAATGTTAATTACAGACATATCCTAATGACTGCATGAGTTTCATTTTGAACAACATATGAACAGATTTAAATCAAATGATAATCTTATTTTTAACCCACAGAATCACAGTTTTATAGGCCTCTCGTACACTGTAAAATCCAAAGGCTAAAGCAACACCAGCATTTACTCTGGCACTCTTCTTTCTCCTTTTTGAATTGTGGTTTGCAAAATTGCAGGCTTCTCTACCTACTGTTGTGACTCACTTGTCTCGAGGCCAATGTTTTAAATTTGACTTTGACTTGCCTGTTACCTTTTTTAAATACAGCACTAAATGCGCAGTCCTTCGTGGAATACTAAAGCTGCCAAAAGCAGCAACTGTCTAGCAGAGAAGACTGTCGACGTGATATAATGAGAAGGTTCTTCTGTAAAATTGGGGTATTTTTGCACCTCGGGCTGAACTCGACGCAGGCCACGTCTCCCACTTCTCCTCTGTCTTAGGAGAGTGATGGCTTTGGGATGTATAATTGCATATAGTTTTTTATGACAGTTTTTTAATGTGCTGCTTCCTTCCTTGCTTGGTTAAAAAAGCCCTCTTGTATTCGATCAAAGCACGAAAACTAACCTCAAGTAGATTAAGCAGACATACAAGTGCAGTACACAATTATAAAAGGAAAAACTAAATGCTCTCTTAAAAGTTAAGTAAAAAAAACTCTTTCCACAAAGGGCTATTTCTAGAGTTATTTCTTATTGAATTACATAATATTTTTTACTCTTCTCTTAAATATTCGATAACACTTTAAAATAATGGTCTATTATGTTAGCTGATGTATTTACTTACATGTGCAACGTTAATGTTATTTTAGTTTACATGGTTAGTTCATGTTAAATCAATTTGCATTCAGCAATGTTAACAAGCACAACTTTAGATTGTAATAATACATTAGTTAATGTTTAACTATGATTATTAAATGCTTTACAAGATTATTCATACTTAATGTTAGTAAAAACATTTAACTAACATTAACTAATGGACTAGAATACAAATCATAATAAAAATGAACTTTTTTTCACAGTTAAGTACCCCTTTTCCCCCCATTAAATAGATCTTCAAAATTGTATACTTCAGTTATGATCTTGCTACTGAAAGTTAACATTGTCTAGGGAAAAAGTGAGAATAAAATGCAAGATCTGTTATCCTGTGATGCAAATGAACATCAATGTTTTAATGCTTTTTAAACTCTTATGTATTTCAGATGTTGCATATTAACACATAAGCAGAAATTTGATGGAAATTCTCTCTTTTCTCCCCTCCTTCTGCTGTTTCAGTTGTTCCAGACCTAGACTTGACCAAACAGTTCATGCACCCGGAAACTGCTCCCCCTAATCTGATTAAGCTGATCGAAGCAGTTGAGCGGTCAGGTAATACTTTTTGTCATTGACTGTCATGTAAAGAGCTTTATTGTTTGTGGTTTGTTTGTTAGAGAAGCTGACACATGACACGCAGAGCTCAAAATCTAGAGTGAACAGAGCCTCCGGCCACAAGAAAAGAGCAAAAAAAAAAAAAAAAAACACATATACTAGACCTTTTTTTTTCTATGTACATCAATTTTAAAATTTTGAGCTTTTGAGTTCATCTAGACTTTTTTGAGGTCAGTGTGAAGAAAACATCTAAAATACACCTTGTAGTGCCTTTTGTCTTTTTGTGTAAACAAAACTAAGGTGAATTTTTTTCCTATATTTCAGCTTTAGCAGTCTTTCATACACCAGACATGTTTTATAAAAACACAGTTCAGAACATGAGATTTGTGGACCCGTTGCAGAGTTTTACCACAACGAAGTGAAATTTTATAATTTGCATGTTTTTAAGGCCTGAGCGCGATTAAAGTATTCAGACACAAAAGTTTAATGTTGCATTATTCATACAATAAAGTCTTTGCAGTGTAGTTTTTACATTTATATTTACAAAACCACGATTGCAGTTTACATTATTATATTTGATGCATTATTCACTTCCCTACAGAATAATCCCAATTATTCTAAATTATTACATTTGGTAACACTTTAGGGACCAATGCTTACTATTAATTAATTGCCTATTAGCATTCATGTTATTAAGATATTGGCTCCTTATTAGTACTTATAAACTAAATGTTCTGCAAGATCTTATTCTACATCCCTAACCCTATACCTAAACTACCTTAATATCTATGAATAAAGAGCAAAGTAGAAGTTTATTGAAGCAGAAGTCATAATTTTGATTTGCTAATAGCGAGAAGTGAGCGTTACAATAAAGCATGACTATAATATATATATAGCAATGTCAGATTTTTCCAATATTGTGAAGTAGGAATGCTTTGATCGGAATTTTTGCAGCCTGATTCCTTGTCTTGGTGATAGGCTGATACTGAGTACCGATTCTGAAACTTTTTGTAACTTTGCATAAAGCAAGGAGATCTCTTAGTAAATTAAGGATTTTTCATATGCCTTATAACCATTTAACATGGACATGTTGCGGTCAGAAGCAGCTTTACAAAAAATGTTAATAAAACAGATAATAAATGGTTATAAAAATAACTCCTATTGCAATTTGGAAACATTGCAAGGGATGAAGGAAAATTTTAAGTTGTCTCAATCAAGAAAAAGTTTAGAGTGCATATTTAATGCATAAAAATAAAATGTGCACACCAATAAATCCATTACTTAAAGGAAATAAGCATATAACCTACTGTTTATTGCAACTAAAAATATATTACAAAAAGTTGTGTTATTAAATATTAATAATATTATTATAATATTATTTCCAGCCATGTTTTAATGAACTTGCAATATTTTTGAAAACACAGAGCTTTTAAGTTCTTAAAGCAAAATTTAAAAAAGCCTAAATACATGCAATGCCATTCAAATATATTGCTAGACTCCAACTATTGACAGCAACACAATGATCGCAGTACTGAAGAGCCTTACAGCAGCTCGATTACACGATGAGAGAGAAAGGGAGAGAGACAAACACTTGTCAGTGGTTCATGAGATCGGCCTGTTTAGTGTGTACTGATCGAGTCATGAAATGTGATTATTGGCCGGTGCCGATCGATAGGAGCATCCCTATCGTGCAGCCCTATTTTTAATCATAATTTTATTGTTCAGTATTTTTCTGGTGGTGATGTATGCAAATTTGAGAATATGTAGTGAAACAATGCCTCTTTTGCATATTGAATCTCTTACACACAATTAGTGCTCTTGAAATATGAACTGGAGGTGGGTCCAGATTGAATTCTGTCCAGACCCGGACTGGAGTCTGAAAGCCCTGGTCTATAACTTATTTTGGTTACAATTTCTTAATTGTAGTGTAAATGAACACACTTTTTACTGTCAAAAACACCCCAATTCACAGCTCTTTAAATGAAAATGAGCTGATGCTCACCCTGAGCTTTAAAAAGCAATCTGGGAAAGCTTTCTTGGTTCACACGAGCCAGTTTTTGCCCACTCGTACTAGGATATTCCCTTCATATTTAAAATTAAGCCATTTCACGGTTGTCTCTTTTGTGTAAGGACTCCATACAGAACAGGATAACTGGTCACACTTTTTGATGGTTCGTTTGTTAAATTTAAGTTAAAAGACTAGGTAGTTACATCAAAACTGAAACGGGTCACTGGATGACTCATTTTAAAACTCAAACCTTTTATAAGAAACTGGCTGCATGTTTTCTTTTTAGCTTTTCTAAGCTGGCAGACACAGCAGAAACCAAACTAAATATTTAATAAAAAATGCACAGAAGAGAAAAATTCATCCGTTGTCACCTTTAATGGATTTATTTTAATAGATATTTCCACATTGAAAATGATATTAAAAGCAGAGGTGTGAAATGGTTTTTATGACACCATATGGCAGTTATTAAGATGCAGATTTCAGTCCTACTCTTTCTCCGTCTTCTCACTTCTTCCCCAACTGCAGCAAAGCTCAGGGATTCGGCTGGGCTCTTTTCCCAGTTCTGATAGCGTGACTGGATATATTTATATCTGCAGGCTTTTACATTTAATGTTTAGATGTAACTGCTCCTCTAATCCAGGCTGGCATGGAAGGGCTATTTTTGAGAGGTGAGCTAATGCCTCGATTCTCTGCTAGGTCTGGACTGCAGGACACTGTACAGGACTTCAGCCTCTGACAATCAGCGACCGAGCCTCAGCGGTGAGTTATTGCACACTTTTTCCCCCCTTGTAGATTTGCTCTTTCCTGCACTGGACCGTTTTTTAGTTGCATGTCTGCAAACATACCAAGGTTATAATAGTTTTGGATTTTTCATTAGTTTTACTTTTTATTCTGTTAGTTTTAGTTTTTAGAGGCAGATTTACTAGTTTTTATTAGTTTCTATATTTAGAAATTGCTTGGTTTTAGTTTAGTTTTTATTTGTTTTAGTATTTTTTTTTTTTTATAAATAAGGATATTTGTTAGGTGCAAGATTCAAAATTTAAAAAAAAAAACTTAATCAAAGATACATTTTTTAAAACATGTATTCAGAGGACACATGACCACTATTATCTACCACTACCATCTACACATTTTCAAGTTCAAATGCAATAGCCCACAAGATAGCTGCCTTAAGTAAAATATGTGTGCAAGGCTGCTTCTGAGGTTAGACGCACAGTAGTGATAGGAAGTTCAGATCTTTAATGTGAACCGGATCTTCTCAAGTTTGGACTCATGAACTGAAAAGTTTCTTACAATTATGCTTTGCAACCCAACTGAAGCATGATTCCCTTATTTAAACTCCATTACGATTTTTTGTTATGAAATAAACCTTCAAAACACTTTTCATAAAACTCTTATTTATGTCCTTGGTTTACACGCACTGCAGTTGTTCAAGTTTAGTTCAGTCATAGCAGGCTGTCGTGGACTGTTTGTGTTTGCTTCACCTGCTGTGCAGTATTATCCATTCACCGCTTCCCAAATCTGATCTTATTATACTGTTCTAATAACTGAATAACTCAGTATTTACTGGTTTATTTTCGTGTCAGAGGGGTGGTATTAGGCATGTTAAAAAGTTAGTAGTTTGTGGACAAGAGAGCTTACTGGAGACGCGACTAGTTTCAAATGATTCAGGTCGAGTGTGAAGTAAATAGATTTACTTGTAAATGGCATACAGAAGGCTTATATATTAAAAACATTTACAAAGACGAAAACGAAGGATGTTTTTGCTATAATTTTAGTTAGTTTCAGCTAGTCTTGTTCATAAACTATACAGTTCTAGTTAGTTCTAGTTTTAAAAAAAATCTAGTTTTTATTTCTATTTCAGGTCACGAAAATGTTTTTTTTTTTCTTCTTTTTTTTTCTTCGTTTTCATTAACTGTAATAACCTTGAAGCATACAGGTTCAGCTCTTGAGGATTTGAATTGGTTTTGAATGTGTGTGTGTGTGTGTGTGTGTGTGTGTGTGTGTGTGTGTGTGTGTGTGCGTGTTATTTTTATGTGTGTTATGTTATTTTTTATTCATTTAGAACTAATCTCACACATAATTTATTATGATTAAATCAAATTACTCTCAAAAAGTTTTTGAAAAGTTTAAATGGTACTTAAATGGTAATTTAAATGGTAACTTAAATGGTAATTATTAAAGTATTTAATAATAATATACTACTACTAATACCACTTATAAAAAATATATATATATATTTATTTTAAATATTAACTGTGATATGGTGAATAAAATAAACTGCAATCATATCTACTGTAATAACAACAATAAAATTACATTGACATTATACTGAAGTTTTATTTTGACAAAAACTTCTGGGAAACTTCTGAACTTTTGAAATGCGTTGCTTTCTTTTCTTCCAAATTGTGAAGAACTACTAAGGGTTTGATCGAGTCACCCAGCGATTACCATAGTATCAGAACATTTCTGTATTTCGTACATGTCTGCCGTGTTTGACCGCCGTCATTTGTCCCCACGCAGAGCTGCAGGATCTGGACGTGGGACAGTGGGACATTCATGCGCTTTCTGAGGCTGTGATTCGGTACCTCCAGGACCTTCCTGCCCCCATCATCCCTCCCTGTGTTTATACAGACCTTCAGGCAGCAGTGCAGCTCGAATCGGGTACGTGCCATTTTTCACTCATCCGTGCAGGTTGAAAAGAGCAGCGTGGATTTAGAAAGTAACAGAATTATATGAGCAAATAGCACTGATTTTCAGTGTCTGCCTCGTGTTTGCTGGATCTTTTGATGACCTGTGTGCTGGCGATGATGTCATTCACAAACACACATCCCTATCTTCGTATAGGCTTGTGTATATTGTTTAAATCTTTATTTTCTCTATTTAACAGTGTTGATATTTGTATTAGCTATAAAGGCTGATTTCTATTTTTGCAGCGAGTGATTGGCATGACCCATGGCGCCTGCCTGCGTGTAGTCTTGCATTTTTACTTGTGCGTGCTGTTTGTGTTGCTCTGCAATAACACTTCCGAAACGCTAGCTGGCAGTAGGTTTTTATGTTCCTCTGTGTCGAGTTTCTTCACAGGTGTTTTGTTTTTCTGAATTACAAGTAACTAAAACTCGCTCATTCAGCTGTGGAAACTGTTGGACATGCAACAATTTGAATCATAAGGTGAACACAAAACAAAAGTTTTCATCTGGAGCTCCTTCATGCGAATGGACGCTTGTAAACACTCGCTCTAAAGTGCTTGTGGCTCTCAGCACTGCCCATGCACATCATCACTACCAAACTGACCAATCACAGAGCTTGCACCATGCGTCGTTGCAACGTGTAGTTGTTTGTCGTTATTTTTAGAGGGCTATGTGACCGTCTTCATTAGTCTACTAGTCTTCATTAGACCTTTCTATGTTCATGTTGCTTAAATGAATTTATTAAATGATACATTTTCAAAATATAAAAACCTTTTGTCAGTGGTCTAAGTATTGTTTTGAAATAATAGCTGTAATAGTTGGCTATTAATAGATGTTTGGTATATGTTTTACACGCTAACGTATATTTTCAGTTTATTATTAATATTATAGTTTTTATTATCTAAAAAAACATTAAATGTACTGTTACTGAACTGTGAAGTATTTAATTATATTTGTATTTAATATTACTGCTAGTACTTCTGTTGCTAATGATAAATTATATTTTTATTAATCAATTTATTAAAAAACAAGACGTGTAATGATATTAAGTTGTAAGTTATTATATATAATACTACTACTATTAGTTGTAGTACTACTGCTACTACTACTACTACTACTAATTATAATAATAATAATAATTATTATTATTATTACCTCACCACACATTAACCCTAAAACATTATTAATTATGACTTTGCCTTACACAGTTGAGTGGGCTTGACAAACCACCAGTAGAAAACATACTCTTTCTCCCTTTTGACACTTTATCCGACACTTGAACCAGTTTTTTGCACATTTGCACCAGACACGTTCTTACAATCATTCCATATAAAAAAAAACATTGTTCATTTATAAAATGTGCTTCACACAAGTGAGTGAACTCGACAAACCACCTGTAGAAACACATGCAACAGAGCTTCAGAGCCCCCTCTCTCCGAAAACACCATCCTTACTTAATATACTGAGCACAAACAGTTCCTTTGTATAATTAGCACTTCTTGTGTGTAATGCCTCTTCTTGATGAATTGCTGAATGCCTTAATTTTAAGTTGCAGGGCTCGAAATTGCGACCATTTTGGTCGCATATGCGCCCGAAAATTAATCTATGCGACCTCATAATATATATGGGAGCATTAGTGCGACTGCAGATAATAGTTGTAGTGCGACCTGTTTTGATTTTTTGTAAAAACGTGCTGAATCGCTCTTCCCTGCCGCTATATTGGTTCATATTAGCTGTCAATCACTCAAGGTATTCAGCTGTCAGATGACAGGGAAGGAGCTTTTATGAGCACGGGAAATGCAAAAGGCTGAAGAGTAAAAACTTAAAGCACACAGGTTTGCAAACTCCACCTAAAATTGAGGCGCAGATGAGAGCGATCATGACACGTCACGTGGTGAATAATGATCCACCAGCTGAGATCAATCGAGTATGCGCTTCTTGGAGAAGGCGCCCGAATCTCCATGTGTTGCATTCACTGCGTGTTCAGCGCAAATGTCCGCTAAAAGTCAAATCTAATACTGTACATTTCATCGCCAAAGAAGCTCGCCTTTACTAAGTTTACACTGAAACTGCGGCTCATAACAAAGAGCGATATTGCGCCGGATGTCACCGCAAGAATCCTGCTCTGCCTGCTCATAAATTGGGTCGGCTGACTCGCCAGCTTTTCCACTAACACAGAGAAATGAAGATCATCTCAGACTGAACCTTTAAATTGACACAAACTGAAACCAAATCTTTTAAAGAGTGATAGAAGTGAGACTTTACTTTCTTTCTTTTGTCTATTCTTTTTTGAGGTGTATATTATTTTTATTTTTTATTTATTTACTGATGACTGCTTTGCAGCTTTCATCATTGAATTGAATGATTTATTATAATCTTTTGTTTGTTTTGTTGTAGAAATATTTTTTATTAAATTGACATGCATATATAAACAGCAGTACAAAATAAATATTTCTTACTGCAATGCTTCATTTTTGTTTGATGCAAACTATACATTTATTTTTCACAAAGTAACAGACTTTGTATAGCAGATAACCTACATTCATGCACATTTAAGGCAGTATCATAATGAGAAATGTAATTCATTGTTACTATTATTGTCATTTTCATCATCACTAATATTCTATAGCCTAATTATTAGACATTCATTTTGGAATTATTGCACACAAATATCAATGTCTTCTCAGCATTAGTTCAATAGTTGTTTCTGGTTTTTGTCAGTCCTATTGATGTTGTTTTAAAATACAATAAATCCCTTAAAAAGCCATTTGCAGTGGTGCTCATTCATTTTTGGTGGGTGCTCCTAAAGTTTTTTTGGTGCTCCTAAATTTATTTTGGTGCTCCTAAATATTTGAAGTTGGGAGCACCGGCGCTACCAAGTAAAAAAGTTAATTTCGAGCCCTGAGTTGCTTTGGACAAAAGTGTCTGCTAAATGACAATGTAAATTATTATTATTATTTATTATTTTCTATAACAAAAAAAAAAATTATATTTAAAACGTGCTAATGTTGGTGTCATTCCGGAACAGACGTCCCCTCCGTGAGGAGACGTGAGCTGCTTCAGCAGGTCCTGGACAAGCCTGAGGTTCCTCTGCAGAACCTGCTGACACTGCATTATTTGCTTCAACACCTGGACAAGGTCTGTCAGTCCGCTGAGCAGAACGGCCTCGACATTTACACCCTGGGCCAGATCTTCGGCCCTCTCCTGTTCAGGGGCCCTGTGAGCGGGTGAGCACAACATTTAGCTGCTTTTAACTTTTGAAAATCTGCTGCCGAATATGAGCACACATACTAATCTTCTCTATGCCTGATTGGCAGGTCAGAGGAAGATGAGGCGTTTCCTGCAGCTGCAGTTGAGAGACTTCTTTTGGAGAGAATTTGGGAACAAGAGCCGACTCCTCCCGGTTTGTTTGTATTAATAATAATGATGCTTTTTAAAATTTTTTACTGATAGACTGTCAGTGAGATTTACCATCGTCATCTGTGTTTACTAGCTGTTTGATGCCAAATATGACTATATTTATATGATTATGCCAAGTAGTGTGTTAAAAATAGAAGCTTTGTCTTTTCCTCTATAAACACTTGTTAGGGCCGACCAATTAATCAAAGTTGATTTTCATGTGCATTTTGTCAGTAAAGCCGGTTCTATTAAACCTATAGCCTTTGCTTACATATGGAGCAGCATTTACTACCCAGCACTATATTTCTCTAAAATGTTACACAAAATTTAGTTTAAAATTAAAACCAGTTTAATCAAACACTGAAATTGAGATAAATTGTTCTGTGATAATAACACCTGTTTGGGTCGCTTTTCAGTGAACCACGGCTCTGTGTAGTAAATGCTGCATGTGAAAATACCACATATAACAATTTTTTATTTCTTTTTGTCCAAACTTGCGTAAAAACTTCAGCCAAACTTCATCGTTTGAGTTAAATCCTTTTGTGAGATGATTTCATACTTGTGCATTTTGTCAGTAAAGCTGGTTCTACTAAACCCAAAGCCATTGCATTTAGATGGAGCAGCATTTACTACACAGCACGGTTGTCCACTGAAAAGTTACGCAAAATTGAGTTCAAAATTAAAATCAGACAATGATGAAATTGATTTAAGTCAATTGTAGTAACATAGTTGTGTTATTATTGGTCATGCTGAATCGATTAAAGCAGTTAAATCTTCTGTTTGTGCTGTAGCGCTAGTATAATTTTCTTTGTGGGTATTTGGAGTTTCTGCTTAAAAGCGCCCTCTGGCCTTTGAAGGAAATTTGCTGTTGATCACACAACCCTGCTTCCCTGACAGGATGTGCATGACAATCGCAGCTTTCCTTGATCATTTTTACAATTTCAATTCAGTTAATATGCCAGACCGCTGTTGTGTAAAAAATTGTGAATATTAGATTATAAACTGGTTTTTCAGGATTGAATAATTTGTTTATTTTGTGATTTAGACCAAAACATGGCAATTTAAATGATAAAATAAAAATATATTACATGAATATGTAAAATATGCTATATTCAAAGTTCTTAAAGTACTTAATTTTACCATTTAGAAAATTAAGCTCTCTTTAGTTTGTACAATATATTTGCATTGTGGGATGCTTATGCTTTTATCAGGTTTTCAAGGTAAGATATCTATGAAAAAGAGGAAATAAATAAGCTACAGAAGTTCTAGTCAAAGAAAGCAGAGACTCACTCTTTTCAGCAAAAGTATTCAGCATATTATAATGATTTATTATGGTTAGGACTGACTGGAACTTTAGCTTTACCTCACAGGCATTAATATTTCACAATATTGCTGCTGTGATTGCTGTTTTTCTGATCAAATTAATGCAGCCTTGGAGAGCAAGAACTGTCTTTAGAGAACCTAAAAATCTTTCTGGAAGCCATCATGGATTTGCTAACAAATTACACCAGAAGAGCTTCATCATCCCTGTAGAGTAGCATTTAGTTCAGAAGAGAAAAGCTCATGCTGTTGCCAGATATCTGGCCTGTCAGCCGAAGGGACTGATCCCTCAGCGATCTCTGTTACACCCTTGAGCAAGACAGGTGACTCTAGAGACTCTGAAAGATAACATCACGCGTTTCTGCGGTGATGAGGATCCATGAAAGCAAACACTGGCCCCAGCCGTGTAGAGATGAAAAGAGATTTATTTATTTTAATCATAAATATTTGTATCGTATTTCCCTTGTTTATCCAGCTCTTCCTCCAAAACCGCCCAAAGCCAAAGCCATGGCCTCATCTGTGACTAATGGAAGCGACAGCTTACTGAGTGAAGCTGAATGGTACTGGGGAGATATTTCAAGGTAAATTACTGGTCTATTTAAACATGTGACTGTAATTTAAGAGTGTAACACAAAATTATTAGCTTTCCTGTAAAATTTGCCATTCTTTTTCAAATATTTCCCAAGTGAGGATTTTCTGAGAAAGGAAATTTTCACATTAGCTATGTTTCCATCCAAAAATGCGAATTAACTTTATGCATCAATATCGCATAAAAGTCGTGCCAATAAAGCAGCGTTTCCATTCAAGAAGTCAAAGAGAACAAAATAATCCTGATTAACTGGCACCAAATTTTAACAGTAAAAGCTGGTAGGAGAAGCTGCGTGAATCTTTTCTTCATTTAATAAATCCCTTGTGCCTCAGAAGATGGGGCAGACACACAATGAACGTGTGGTGGCGTTTGAAGGCATCAGACACGGAGCACAGACGCTCCTGACAGTTCTGGAGGTAATTAATAATATAATAACAATAACATTAAAACAGTGAAGTCGTTTTAGAATGACCAAAACAACATTTCAGATGTTTTAAAGTTTGCTCAGCCTGTTGGTTTATCCATTCACTCACATTTTTATTATCACATGATCTCTTATAACAAAATTACATGACGTTTTTTTAATGCGCTAACTGGAAAAAATTGTTATATTAAATATAAAGTTTATCCTACTCACTTATGCGCATATGTTTTTTACGCACATTTTTTCAATTGATGCACATTTTGGTGTTTCCGTCAACATTTTTTATGTGCGTATCCAAAATGTGCAAAGAAATAGATGGATGGATGCATAGCTAGTGTTTCCTTTAATTTTTTTCTTCTGGAAAAAGTCTTATTTTAATTTGGCTAAAATATTTTTTTAAATGTTTTAAAAGCATTTATAAGGTTAATGTTATTATTCCAATTAAGATGTTTTCCCCTTTCACTTGGATCTTTATATTTGGGTAATATAAACTTCAATGGATGGACTAGTAAAGACAAGAAACTATTATTTGTTCTTCTGGCAGCTAGTTAAAAAAAAGTAATTAAAAAAAATGTTTAAATGAAGAGTTATCGTCTTTTTTTTTTATTAAGGACTGAAAATTTTTTCCTAATTTGGAGTAAGTGGATTGACTACATTTAAGCAGTTCTTTGTATTTTTCTTGCATTGTAATTTTTTACATTTAATTTTATTTATTATAATTATGTTTTTTATTATTTATATGTAAAATATATTTTCTTTATTAAAGGCAATTTTTTAAAAGATTTTTTCCTCCCGAAGTTTTACTGTATAAAGTTGTTGTTGTTAAAGGGAAGAAAATACAAAACATATGTAAGATCACCAAGTTTCTTTCTGTATTAGAGATTGTTAGTTATATATGATATTTTGAATCTATATTGTCCTATATTTTCTTTTGAAAAATCAAATTGAAAAAATGCTTTCTTGATTGTCTACAGAACAAACTACTGTTGTCCAATAATTTGCTTAATTATCCTAACTTGCCTACTTAACATAATTGGCCTAGTTAACTTTTAAATTGCATTTTAGGCTAAAAACTACTAGGGCTGCACAATATAGCGTTTTAGAATCGATATCACAATGTGATCATTCGCTGTAGTAACATCACGAGTATACACAATATTGAATCTAGATTATAATTATGTAATATAATATATCAAAATAAAACAAGTGTTTTTGAGGCCTGTGCCTGTGTGACGGATTTAAAAGCATTCAGGCTTAAAAAATCGTACTGAATTGAATTGTTTATAAAATGAATGACTATGCAGTATTGTTTTACATTTGATTATTCAACTACTGTTTACCTAAGTACAGTTCAACTCCTCGGAAAACAATCAAACACTGTTTATTTAATTTGTATGTTTTTTATTATTGTATTGAAATATGCTTCTTGTCTACAGAATCATCCTAATTAATCTAAAATTATGTACATTTTTCTAAATAATTATTCGTCACATCTAGTTAAATTGTATTCATATCGCAATATATATCGCAGAATAAAAAATATTGCAATGTTAGATTTTTCCGATATCGTGCAGCCCTAAATCTAGCAAAATATGCAGTACAATATTATTTGCATTGTCATTGTGGTAAAGAAAAAAGCAATTAGTTATTATAAAATAGCTATATAAGCTATTAGGTTTATAAGTGTTTTGAAAAATCTGTCAAACATCACTTGGGAAATATTTGATGAAGAATTTACATTTCTAACTATATGTGCATGTAGGGGTGTCGAAATTTATGCTCAACTTCGATTATCGAATCAAAAAATAGAATCGTCGATGCTGCCACGCCCCCATGTCACGTTAGCTTGGCTTGTCAAGCATGAATAAACAGGCTTGTTGAATTGCTTGTTAAACTGCAGACGCAGGAGACCCGTCGACAGAACTTAAACCCTCTCCTCTTTCAATGAAGTCGCCGGTGTGGAAGTATTTTGGATTTCCAGTTAGTTATGTTGACAACGTTCGTGTTGTCGACAAAAAAAACACAGTTTTCAAGCTCTGCCATGTACGTATTACGGTTGGATTGATAGACGATATGCGCATCGCGATCCTCCGCCCCGGACCCGTTGCAAATCCGCTTGCGAAAAATACACACTCAGGCCCTGTTTACACTAATATGTCTTTGTTTTTAAATGGCATTTTAGAACAACAACGATCCACATCCACACTGGAGTGTAGCATTTCTAAGCAACCCTCCTTCCTCACTACCGCTGAAAACACACATCACGTGACCACACACACTCATTCACACACAGATACAGATGCACACACATTGTCATGCGTTTGAGACAGCGGGTCAAGGCGGTTAGCGAGTCAGTAGACTGCTTCCATCTTTTACTTTCACACACTTACTTAGTCATTTTAGCGAACACCTCAGGTACTGTTGGCTGGTTTCTGTTGGTTTTGCACCTTTTTTACCGACGCCATTATAACGACACGGATCACTGCCTATTCACGAGTTCCGCAGAAAAAAGTGATTGACAGGTGGTAATTATGTGTGTAACTTACCTTTATTCATTTACTGTATGATTTGTTTATGGGTAAAACAAAGACCATGCATGTCAGGTAGTTTAAACGGTAGGCTACAAATAATTAATTCATTATTAATTAATTAATTAATTATTCATAATCAAAAATCGAATCGAATCGTGACTTTAGAATCGAAAATATAATCGAATCGAGGATTTGGAGGATCGTGACACCCTTATGTGCATGTGATGCATCTATTTTTTTCAGATAACATACAAACAATCAGGGAACAGACATTATCAATAAAATAATAATAATGATGATTACTCAATAGTAAAATCGTCACTAAAAACAAGTCGCTACTTTGTGTGTAATGTGATGTAAATCAGTTCTGTTTTTAATGCATTTTTTGCAGTTGTAAAACCAGTAAAACTAAATTTTCTTCTGTATTAAACTTGTGCAGAATTTAGAATCATCATTAAGAAGATGTAAACCTGGAATAGGTATGTAATCAATGTGTAGTAGATTAAAACATTAACAAATCTCTGTCTGATGTTCACACTTTTAGAGAGGAAGTGAATGAAAAAATGAGAGACACTCCTGATGGTACGTTCTTGGTGCGGGACGCTTCAAGCAAAGTGCACGGAGAGTACACTTTGACCCTCAGGTGAGCACTGTGTCAGGTCAAATCGCATTTGATGTCTAATATGCGACGAATGCATTGCGTAGGTGCGCTGGTGTATTATTTGTTTGATATGCATCATCACAAAGAAGAATTTCTAACAGGGACTTGATGCGATCAAAGCCTTGTGTTGTTTATTCCAGGAAAGGAGGCAATAACAAACTGATCAAGATTTTTCATCGCGGGGGCAAGTACGGCTTCTCTGAGCCTCTTACTTTTCTCTCTGTGGTGGAGCTCATCAACCACTACCGCCATGAGTCACTGGCGCAGTATAACGCCAAGCTGGACTCTCACCTGCTCTTCCCCGTCTCCAAATATCAGCAGGTACAGCACCTCCGCTCTTCACAAGCCTCAAACTGATGGTGTCCTTTTTTCCACAGGCTTCATGTTGAAGGAATAGCAGACTAATAACCCTTGTGTGCTCTTTGGCATGTTTTGATCCACTCTGGGATGATTGCTGAGTCTTAATTTAGCCACAACATTCTCTGTGTTTCAGCAAATTGAATGATGTTTCATGACAAATTTTATTTTGACACATATTTTGAGAAAATTCTTTGAAAATGTTCAACAATACATTCAGGGCAAATTTACTACCCTTTCATTATGTTTGTGGCTGTTTTTGCCCCATTGACTTCCATACGTCCATGACACCATATTAGTATGCTTTCTTGATTGTTGCTGATTTTCCCTGTTGGGAAGAGGTTACATTTTTTCACTTTTAGTGCTGATTATCAGTCGCAGTGCAAAAAAAGCTTTGTTTCTATATAAAGCTGGCTTCTATATGGAGTATAGTGTGTGAGTGTGTGAGAAATATTTGCACACTTATCTTGATATGTCTGAGAAAATCAAAATAAGCACCTTATCTTTCAGAACAAAGTAAACGTATGTAAGTAAGCACACACTAATCTGCCATTTTACTCCATAGAACTCTGTATAAAAGCAAGAAACGTTTTGCACAGGCCTATCTAAAGGGTTAATGGTGCCAACTGATGACCAACAGTACAAATGAAGTTTTACTTTTTCCCGACAGTGAAAACCACCAACAGTCAAGAATGCATGATTATTTGATGTCATGGCTTTGCTATTAAAAATGTAATTAAAAAAGAAGTCAATGGGGCAAAAGCAGCTGTAAACTTAACAAAAGGTTAGTAAATCTGAACAGTAGACTAGGGTTAAACATGGCATTTCTGTTGTTATTTACTCAACCTTATGACTCCATAATTTGTATATTTTCCATAAAATGGCAGTTTAGTGAAATTCCATGTGATATAAGATCAACAGACAGTATTTTTATAATTATATTAATGTTTTCACTTGGAAATGTTTTATTGACACAGATTTAATTAGGCTTCTGGTTATTAATAAAACATTTGACTATAAGGAACTTGCGAAAAAGTTTACCACTTGCGTTTTAAAAAAGTTTAACATTTAACAATGTAATTTTGAAACCATTTGCATTTACACCTTTTTGAAAATGACCAAAACTGCTGTATTGCATATATCAGGCTAGTATTTGAAAGTCTCACCTTTTTAGTAAATGGTATCTGAAAGAAAGTGATGATGTGCTTGCGTTAATGTAGAATTCGCTGTAAAATAAGATGCAACTTAATTTAAGTTGTAATGTGAAGTAAACCCACCCTTGAGCAACACGACTGCCAAGTACTTTGCCATTGTGAGTGTTTGTTTGTGCTTGGCTTTAATCTACATAAACATGTACTATGCATGTGCATGATGTCATTGTTTTCAAAGATTCTCGTTTTCAGGTGTTCACGTAGGCACATCAACAGCCGTGTTTTAAACAACTTCTACTTTATTAGCTGTTTTCAAATTTGTGTATTCAGTCCCAAAATTGCTGATATTTTGTAAACAGAGGCAAAACGTATCTAAAGTTTCCAATTTTGCCTGAAAACTTTGTTGTGTAAACGGCAAATAATTGTGCTTTGATTTGAAAAATGACCAAAGACAGAATAAAGATGTCTCATGCATACCTGATTTTTCCTTTAAAGTCAGTATGTTAAATAGATAGATAGATAGATAGATAGATAGATAGATAGATAGATAGATAGATAGATAGATAGATAGATAGATAGATAGATAGATAGATAGATAGATAGATAGATAGATAGATAGATAGATAGATAGATAGATAGATAGATTGATTGATTGATTGATTGTTTTTTTTATATAACATAAAAATTCTGTCATATTAATGATTGATTATTTTTTTTATTTATCAGTATTCAGAAAGTTAAAATAAAAACATTATAAAAAGAGCGTTAAAGAAGTCGTTTGAGAAGATAAGTTGCAGCACGTTTACATTTATGTTCCAGACAATGATTAGTCTTCTTGGAAATCTGGCAAACCACCAACAAGTCAAATTTGTCATTACAATCATCCATCTCTATATAAAATTGACTTGGGGGTGAGTGGATGATGAATCTCTTCTTTTTTGGGGGTAAACAAGGCTTCTGAATACCTTTTTTTTTTGTTGCAGGATCAGGTGGTGAAAGAGGACAGTATAGAGGCAGTGGGAGAGCAGCTGAAGGTTTATCACGAGCAGTATCAGGAGAAGAGTCGTGAATATGACGTACTGTACGAGGAATACACACGCTCATCACAAGTAGGCTGCATTTCCTCTCTCTTTCAAATGCATTGGAATCTCATTAACAGTCACTAATGCAGATGTTGTAATGTACGGTCTCGCTCAGGAGTTGCAGATGAAGCGGACTGCCATTGAGGCCTTCAACGAGACCATCAAGATCTTTGAGGAGCAGTGCGAGACCCAGGAGCGCCTCAGTAGAGACAGCATTGAGAAGTTTCGCAGGGAAGGAAACGACAAGGAGATTGAGAGGTAGTCTTGTTTTTCATGATACAAATGTGTCTCGTAATTCCCCTCATTTGAATTCTGGCTGCTATCAGAGGGAAACTTTTCACTCTTTTCAGAATTCAGAGTAACTCGGAGAAGCTGAAGTCTAGAGTGACAGAGATTCATGACAGCAAGAGGAAGTTGGAACTGGATTTGAAGCGGCAAGCTACAGACAATCGAGAGATAGACAAGCTAATGAACAGCTTGAAACCAGACCTCATACAGCTGAGGAAGCTAAGGGACCAATATCTTGTGTAAGAAATCCACCATGCCATGTGCACACACACATTGCTTCACCCCTTAGTTAAATGAATTGAATATTTTCTACAGGATCCTATACAATAAGATATTTGCATATGTGCAATAGATTAGTCCGTACCTATTGCAAAACTGAAACTAATCTAACAAATAGCTTAAAGTAATGGTGCAGGAGTTAGGAGTTGTGCAGGAATTAGCGCAACCCAGTTTGTTAGGAGAAATACATTCAAAAAATGTTTTTAAAATGTAGTATTTTTTTTTATTATGTTTTAAAGACTTCTATTATGCTCAACAAGGTTTTATTGATCGCAATTATGTTTTTATTTAATTCTTGGGATTTGCAAAGTGGAAGTTTTCAGTGTCAGCATTATCTTTATAAATTAATTTTAGGATGCTGGTTTAGCGCTCAACATACTTTTCCTTTTATTGTTACTGAAAAATTTGTTCTGCTTAAAGATTCAAGAAACGCTTGAGTCCTTTTTGTTTTTTTTTGTTTTTAACTTTTAACTTTTAACAGATGTGTGTGTGTTGAGCATCAGTTAAGGCAAAGTTAGCACCTGTCAGCTTTAATTGTGGGGTAAACTGGATAATTTAGAGCTTTTGTTTACTAATTTCATCCTCAGGGTTTAAAATATTTTTTTGGGCGTGATCAAAATCTATGACATATCGCCAATCCAAGCCTGTCCAAGAGATGATGTATCGGTTTATGATTAGGATTCATAGCTGAGTTTTCTTTTCCTATGGGAAGACCCTGCTTCTTAAGTGCTTTCTGAAAGCAAGGCAGACCTGCCTCGCTGTGAGACCTGAGAGTATTTAGCTGTATATGCAGAGTTGTATGTGTTTGTTTCCATGATCCACAAGGTTTGTTGCATGTTTTTTCCCCACAATGCTGTCAGTGCAGATACAGCAAAGCTGTTGGTTTGCAGCAAGCATTGTTGTTGGGAGAGCTGTACTAGAATTGGAGAATGGCAGAATTTCTTTTACCAGTGGAGTTCATTACTATTCAGACACATTCTTTGCATTTGAGCTTTGTAAACTATAAAATGAAGGGTCTCCTCATGGTTTGTGTCTCATTTTGAGAGCCAATTGACAGTTGTTCACTCCCCTCTATTTCCCCTGCTCTGCTGGCCACGTCCACTCCTCCTGCTAGAAGAGCTCCACACCCAACATGAAGTATTTTTTGAAAAAATACTGAGGTAGACTTGAACCAAAAGAGCAGGGTTTCATGGCCCTTTAATATTTTGGCGTAAACCTTTTATTTCTTTGGATAGAAATTGTACAAAATTTTCTGCCTCAGTTTAAATCGAAATGTCTTTACTGTCAACTTCGATTGATTTAATGCATTCTTACTAGCGTTGCACAAAATAATGTTTTAGCATTGATATCTTAATGTTCGCATCGTAAAGATATGCAATGGTGAGTCTGAACTACTAATTGTATGGAATTTATTTGATTAATGCAAAAAACAATCTTACTTAAAATTTTTGTCTTTGTTTTTTGTCCAAATAACTACATTTTAAAGCAAAAAACAGATTATTTTGCGAACCCCACTGGCAGATAATTTAGCTTGTTTTCAGGAAAATCTTTTAATTGTGACTTAATTCTTCTGACGGTGAGTTTTTATTTGAATTTTTTGATATTTGGGCTAAAAACAAGACAAAACAAGGTAAGAAAAGCATTTTTTCTATTGTGGAAGCACAAAATATGATTTATTTTGCTCTGGTGCTGCATTTTGTGCAGGAAATTTTGTGCGGTAACTGCTGCTGAGGTTAACAACGATGATTATGTCTTTACAGATGGCTGACTCAGAAAGGCACCAGGCAAAGGAAGATCAATGAATGGCTGGGAATAAAGAATGAATCAGAGGAGTAAGTTGTTTACCCTTTCTTGAGATACACTTATATAGGTAGGCTCTGCTGTGTTGATGACTGAGACCCGTTTTTGGGATATTTACTGCTGAGATTAAGATGCAATTTGGTCAGTTGGAGCACAAGTGGACACAATCCTGTAAACATCTGGTGTTTTAATCTTGTTCTTTTGTGCACTTTTGATCCTGAGAGCAACAGCTTTCATTTCTGTGCTGTTTGCCATAGGACTATTACAGATGCTGTAGGTTGTTTTTTTTTTCTGTCTTCAAACCACACTTCAAATGCCATCTGAATGACATGATTCAAGTACATTTCTTGTAATGTTTCAAGTCAGTAGGCAACGAGTTCCAAAGTGCTCAGTCTCAATGTGGTAAACACCACTAGAGGGCCTCAGCACACTTTTTTACCAACTGAAAATGCAAAAACAAAACCTAGTTAGTCTTAAGAAAAGGCCTAGTTAGTTGTTTTGTAGAAGTTATCTGCACCATAATTTAGACATCCTAACACACTTTTCAAAAGAAGTGTGAAAAGCATTATGACGCAACATTAAATCATCAACATTTCTGTAAGACCTTACTGTCAAGCTGTTTACTACATTTTCTTATTTAGATTGTTTTGGTTTGAAAACTTTTTAATTAATGTATTTTTTACTAATTTAAATTTATTTATTTAATTTTATTTTAGTGTGACTGCAAAAAAAAAAATTACAAATATTTTGTATATATATTTATTTATTACTGTATTTTGACCCTTTGACTGCCCCACCAAGAAAAACATTTTTGGATTGCATTTCTTAACTCCTAATGTTGCTAGTTAACACACGCCTCCCATACTTTCTAAAATATCAGCCTCTACCAAATGGGTTGACATGTCGATTTATGGTAAAAGTACCGAAATTAATACAAAGACTATAAAAATATGAAGTGTAAGACCAATTTATTTAAAAACATAAAAAATAAACATTTTAAAATAGTAAGTTATCTTTATTTTAATGCGTATCATATATCTGAACATATTTCAGATTCTCATTTAAAATCTTTTCTTGTTTTTTTTTTATTTTTTATTTTTTATTTTTTTATACACAGTAGAACCAAAACCAAGTGTATTAGTGCAACAGGATTATGTTTGTTTGATTATTTTGTAAACCATCAACGCTGTGTGAACCATTATTTAAAACAGTCAAAAAGGTCAACCATTTGGTAGAGCAGGCAGTTAAAGTGTTAAGCCACAATGAAATTAATTCGGGGATCTAACTTTAAAAACAACAACAACAAGCAGCAGGATTATAGTAACTATATTATATTGCAGACTATACATTAATGAAGCAAAACCAAGATATTTTGAACAGCCAAATGAGATCTACAACTAACAGCAATCATGTATGACCTTTTAGCTTCTATTCTCTGCTGGACGACGATGACGATCAAGCGCATCATGACGAGTGCTCCTGGTACGTTGGAGACATCAAGCGCTCGTATGCAGAGGATCTCCTGAGAGGCAAACGCGATGGCACCTTCCTCATCAGAGAGAGCCAGACCCAGAAGGGCTCCTTCGCCTGCTCTGTAGTGTGAGTTACTGAAGCATTGCTCCATCCAGCATCGCACTCACTGCAGATTCCCGATTCTCAAAGCTAAATTCATCCGTCATATTGAAATGCTCTGACTGTGTTTCTGCTGAGTGTATGTGTGTGTTTTATAATTGTTAAGCACTCAACATGCAGCAGAACCAGTCTAATTTGATAACATAATTTGCTTGGTTTGTGGTAGTTCTACTCAGGTTTTTAAATGTAGTTTTATTAAACATAAATAAAATGTTTTAAATGGTGTCACAAAATAAATGGGTAACACTTTCATTTAGGTCACAATTCATGCTAATGACAAACCATTAACTAACACTACTAGCTAAATAAACTACTAATGCTGTTTATTAATAGTAAGGTAGAAGTTGGGTTTAGATTTTGTGTTTTAGGATAAGGGATGCTACTTTAAAAATACTAACGAACAGGTAATTTCTTAACAATAGGCAGGTAATAAGCCAGTAGTTAACAGCATGAATTGTGACCTAAAGTGTTACCATATGTTATCCAGTCCATTAATATAATATTTACAGACAGGATTTACTTTACCATATACTTGGTAATATGTTGTTGTAGGTGATAACAGTTCTTTTGAATGAGCACCTGGAAGTTTTAAATCGCATGCATTTCAAAATTAGAGACACCGTGTAATTAGTGTCTGTTTATAATTCAGTACTCTGCATCATGCCTAAAATCTTGCTAGTCATTTTTATTCCTATGACTATTCTTTGGCTAATCAATCAATAAATCCATCAATCAATCAATCAATTAACTAATCAATCAAATAAAAACATACTTTTGTTCAATATGTGTACCATAGCTTATTAAGTAACTGGATTTTTAATAAACTTTGACACCATGAGAATTTTTTCTTAGCACCCCCACATATTTGTCTTGCTCCCCCTTACCCTAATATAGGAGAAAAAAAAAGAAAAAAATAATAAATATAATAATATTTAATAATAATATTTGACTAGATATTTTTCAAGACACTTCTCTACAGCTTAAAGGGACATTTAAAGGCTTAACTATGTTAATTAGGTTAACTAGGCAGGTTAGAGTAATTAGGCAAGTTATTGTATAACGATGGTTTGTTCTGTAGACTATCAAAAAATATAGCTTTTTATATTATATATTTTTATATTATATTATATTGAATTGGTAGATTAAATGTAAATAAGATGTTACTTGTATGTTTTTTAATTTGCACATTGTCAGTAAATGATCTGCAGAAATTTTAAAAACCATCTGGGCTGTTTTGGGAATAGTGCTCATGACAAATTGCCCTGTTTGGTAAATCTGGCCCAAAGTGTGCCATTTGTGTTAGCCAATTTGAATAATCTGAAGTTAGTGCTGAACATATTTTTTTACTCAGAAGGCCATATCTCTGACACCAGGGAAAAAACATCTACAAACCAAGTATATTTATAATGTAGTTATATTTTTTAAAGTATGTGAATGAACAAGTATATGTCATATATATTAAGACTTTTCTGTCAGTATATTTAAAAGTACATTTAAAAGTACATAAAATAATTACAAAGTTCACTTAAAGAATACTTTCTATTTTGTTTGTTTGAAAGTAGTATACTAATAGCTAGGACTGCACAATTTTGGAAAAATCTGACATTGCGATATTTTGCTTTTCTGAGGTATATACTGCGATACAAATACAATTTCACCAAATGGCCTGAATAGCTCTTTTTGGGGGAAAATCTTGAATTTAGATTGATTGTGGTGATTTTGTAAGGGTGTGAATGAAGTATAATAAACAAATTGCTAGCCAGATTAATTACAACAGATCAAAAAAAAGTCAAACTAGTACAGAAATTAAGTGATGAAATTAATTCCTCATTAAAGTTACAAATGTTGTACTTTTTTGTACCCGAATACTTCAAACACTCTTGAAAATGCCTTTAAAACACATGCAAGTGATAACGTTTCACTCTGTATGGTTGCCATGACTCCACAAATCTCATGTATTCTCAACTGTTGTGCTGAACAACTATAATCCCTCAACATTGCATATCCTGCAATGTGACTATTGCGTACACACATTGCAGTATTGATGCTGAAACAATTGGCCCAATCCCAATTCTATTTTTGTACCCCTTCCCCTTTCCCCTTCCCCTTGGCCCTTAAAATGGAGGGTTAAGGGGAAGGGCTTCAAAATTTACCCCTAAGAATTGGGACAGCACTTCAGTACCTGCACACGTCATCATATGTCCTCGCGATTTCTTGCTTCCAATGAGATCAGATGATCGCGACTGCTGGAGTGATTCCAGTTGTGTTATTTTTTGGTATTTATCTTCAGGAAATCACTGAAGGCATATATTATATTATCATAATGATCTAATGATCTAATCTAATGGTAATAAGATCGTAATACTGTGCCTTTACACAGTGGCCATACTCATCAATGTAAACACACAAAAACAGCATTAACATTATAGCAGACAGTGTAAAATGCTCATTCCCAGCCACTAGACTTTTCTGACAGGGCATTCCAGTGTCATCGAGTGTCAGAATGTTGTTAGACTGCTGTGCAGGAGTTATGGCAAAACGAGGGGTAGGGGTAAGGGGAAGGGCTAAGGGGTAGAATTGGGATTGGGCCAATATATTGCGCAGCCGTACTAATAGCACACTTGAATAAACCTTTTTTTTTTTTTTTTTATAAGGGATGCACTTTCAAAGGATGAGGACTTAAAAAATCGAGAAAAAAAAGCTAATGCTATAATGCACACTCACTGACCTCTTTATTAGGTACACCCTACTAGCACCGTGTTGGTCCCCCTTTTGCCTTCAGAACTCCCTTAGTCGATTAACAAGGTGCTGGAAATTTTCCTCAGATTTTGGTCCATATTGACATGAAAGCATCACACAGTTGCTGCAGATTTGTCAGCTGCAAATCTCCCATTCCACCACATCTCAAAGATGCTCTATAGCACAGGTGTCAAACTCAGTTCCAAAAGGGCCGCAGCTCTGCACGGTTTAGTTCCAACCCTAATTAAGCACACCTGATCAAACTAATTGAGTCCTTCAGGCTTGTTTGAAACCTACAGGTAAGTGTGTTGGGGCAGGGTTGGAACTAAACTGTGCAGGGCTTCGGCCCTCCAGGAATTGAGTTTGACACCCCTTCTCTATTGGATTGAGATCTGGTGACTGTAGAGGCCATTTGAGTACAGTGAACTCATTGTCATGTTCAAGAAACCAGTCTGAGATGATTTGGGCTTTATGACATGGCGTGTTATCCTGCTGGAAGTAGCCTTTAGAAGATGGGTACACTATGGTTAATACTATTTTATACCACACAGGAAGGCTGTGGTGTTGACACGATGCCTAATTGGTACTAATGGGTACCTTGGTTGTAATGAGTGGTTATTTGACTTACTGTTGTCTTTCTATCAGCTCTTACCAGTCTAGCCATCCGTAACCTCTGGCATTAACAAAGCATATGCGCCTACAGAACTGCCACTCACTGGATATTTTCTCTTTTTCAGACCATTCTCTGTAAATCCTAGAGATGGTTGTGCATGAAAATCACAGTAGATCAGCAGTTTCTGAAGTACTCAGACCAGCCTGTCTGGCACCAACAACCATATCACATTCAAAGTCACTTACATCACCTTTCTTCCCCATTCTAATGCTCAGTTTGAACTGCAGCAGATCGCTTTGACCATGTCTACATGCCTAAAATGCATTGAGTTTCTGCCATGTGATTGGCTGATTAGAAATTTGCATTAATGAGCAGTTAGACGTGTACCTAATTAAGTGGCCGGTTAGTGTATATTATGACAAAATAAGCTGCCTTTTTTTACCTTGGAAATGTGTGAACCTTGAGTAATAGTCCTCTGATACAAAATTAGAAAATAATATTTGAACACTATTTAGACAAGAACTAGATCCTCCTCGTTGACTCATCTTCCTCTTTTTTTCAACAGTGTGGAAGGAGAAATCAAACATTGTGTGGTTTACAAGACGGCCACAGGTTTCGGATTTGCTGAACCCTACAACCTTTACGGCTCCTTGAAAGACTTGGTCCTGCACTACAAACACACGTCTCTGGTCCAGCACAACGACTCGCTGAATGTAACCCTGGCCTACCCGGTGCTCGCACAGCAGCCTAGATGAGCACCGCTTCACCACATGGCCCGGGACACGCATATAAAGCATGATTAAGCACATTATTCAGAGCAAAATATACTAACACCCAACGTTTATGTTTATCGTAGAGAACAGATAAGCACAGCATATTATCGTTAAGTAAACGTACGGCTTTTTTGTAAGCCCATAGTTTTTCCATATCGATCAAAGTCAGCTGCAGTAGTTACGGTAAGATCACAGCTTTTCTGTATTTGTCGTCTCAACATGAGATGGATAGCGTCACACGATTCCACAAACGCTCAAACTAGTGTGGCAGTCCTAGATTTCATCAGTTTCTGATTGGGATTGAGGGCAGGATAAGATGAGGAATGAACTAAAGGATGCAGCTGTTGATAATCAATCTTATAGCTGTTCCGTCACTGTGTGTTCGTTTGGTAGTTTGCTTCTGCCAATCATATGAGTAGATTCCTCTTTATGTGAGTTGTCTTCTAGAAGATGTGAAACCAATCTTTTCTTTTCTTTTTTTTTTATCAGACATGCTTGAGGGACTCTGACGTCCTTTTAGTTTCTAATTTGCCTCTTTTAAGCTTAGACGCCATGGTCAGAATAAATAGCCATCAGCAATTGCCTGCTTTTCTGTGAGATGGTTCCACACAGAGCTGAAGTCTGGCATCTTAAAGGATTAGTTCACTTCACAAATGAAAGTCTCCTGAGATTTTAACTACTCCTTTTTATCCAAGATGTGAATTTCTTCCTTTAGTCAAAAGGAAATTTAGATTTTTAAGGAGAGCATAGATCCTTCTGTGTTGATCAGTGATTTTTAAATTGCAGTTTTAAAAGGCGTTACATGATCCCAGCTTGAGGAATAGCATCTTACCCAGCAAAATGATCATTGTTTTTTTTTTTTTAAAAAGGAAAGTTTATGTACTTTAGCCGAAAAAGCTCATCTTTTTATGGAAAATGGCAATTTTTTTGACTAGGTAAGACCCTTAAGGGCTGGTAACACCAAACGCCAAACAACTAGCACCAACAAAACTCAACTGTCTGTGGCAATCTTGATGAACCAGTGTTTGTTGCGGCGTCAACTAAAAAAAAAAAATCAAGCCTGGGGAATTTTTTTCTTCTTAAATGACACTTTTTTTGTGTGGCGTTTGGCACGTTGGTGTGGGCAATCACATTGGAACCCTTTGTTTAGTCAAGGTGCGAAATTGAATTAAAATTGCAGTTTGGGAGTTTAAACCACTGAGCATAGAAGTCTAATAAATTGAGAAAAATCCTGCATGTCTTCCTCAAAAACCTTAGTTTCCTTTGGACCAAAGTGAGAAAGAATATAACAGCTTGCAAGACAGTGGGGTGAGTATATCATCAGTAGTTTTTCATTCTGTAAGTGAACCAATCCTTTAGTAGTTTTTGTGGGCTGGTATTGGTGCTTTTTGGTGCTTTATTTTTGTAACTCTTGTAATGTGAGAATGATGCATAGCTATAGCGAACCGTTAAGATCCAGCACCGAACAAAGGTGATCCAAAGCAATGACGCGCACAGGAGCTTCCACTCGCTTTGACTCACTCGATCAAACGTGGATCTGATTTCAGATTTTTGAGGAAATCATGGGGTGGAAGTTGAGGTATTGTGGTAGTAAATGAATTCTAATGTTGTTGGGGCGTTTTTGTAACTGTTCTCCCCTTAATGTGTCATTCTTCCATCTTGGCTTGTGCTGTTATTCATAGTCAGATGATACACGGGGTGTGTATCATACAGTCAGCTGGATTAAAAAAAAAAAAAAAATATATATATATATATATACACACACACACACGTATATTTTTGATGAGCAGTCGTGATTTTGTATGAAGCCGAATCAGATAGCATTTTGTTTTGCTTGCTAGGAATCAGTGATTAAATGTGAAGATTTTTGGAGGGTAAAGAGTTTAAAAAGTGCCTTCTGCCCTTGTGAGGAGCCTTCCTGTGGTTGGGGCAGTACAGAATGCTTTGCTTCAATAGGTTTGTGTGTATAGTTACACAAAAAATAAGAGATCAGATAAGAGATTCTCTGGGTTTCTTGAATTTATGATTGTGTTATTTGAGTAAAATGTATTTTTGTGATTTGGTAGAACGTAATTTCTGTCATTTATTTGGAAAAATAAAAGCGATAAATGACGCCGATTTTAAATGATATCAAACCTTAATATCAAATATTAACATTTTGCTCAAAGATATACCTAATAAATTCAATAAATCCATAGAAACAACAGGTCTCTTAATTATTCCATAGCTATATACAGTATAGCCCTACAACCAGTTATAAGCAACAAGTTACGCAAGGGCAAAATTATACAAAATACTTTTTTCCAAAACAGGAGGATAATCTAATCAAGCACATTCTGTTACATTATAGTAAATCACTAGTTATGGCTTAATTGGGAGTGTCAAGTTAAAGAATACTGCATGATAAATGTAAGGACCTATAAAACTTTTATGCATTAAATAAGGTCTTAACCAGTATGCACTTTACCAGTTCATTTGAGTTACCCTTTTCATCCATTTTTTACAAGCTTATATTTAAAGCCTGTTGACATGAGGATGAATGTTCGAAGTGAGAAACATTTCAAGTTTCTATAATGCATCTTTTTAGACTGAAACATGCAGTCTCAGTCCTTCCATTGACACATTTGCACAGTGGAAACGCAAACTCGTGCAAATTTAGCTGAGTTCCAAAGTTGAAGTTTGGTAAACTTTGGCCGCTGACTTCATATCACATGAAGACATGTGGTTTATGGATGATTAGCATGACTTTCAGCTGAATTAAAAGACCACCCACTTGAAATCTGCAATAAATATAGTAGATTACATTTGGGATAAATTCTTTAGAATAAAGTGCAAGTCTTGTGTAAACAAGGTTTGACACAAACATTCTCAGTTTAAAAAGAGGTTTTTTTTTTTTTATAATGGAAAGGTATTAAAATCTCTTACCTACTGCACTACAAATACAACTGTCTAACCAGAGAGATTCACTCAGTTGGCCACCACTGTTTTAGAAAACTACAAACTCTTAAAAAAAGATCCTTCATAATAATAATAATAAAAAAACATGGGTAGCCACTGTATTTCTATGGTGTTTCTGTAAACGCCATCTACTGTCAGAGATTTAAACTGCATTGTCATTCAGCACTTTTGCCTTTCTTAAATACATTAGTATGGACAGAAAAAACATTATATGAATATCAGTCTGAATTTCTGTTCTGAACATTCATGTTAGTGTGTACAGGCTTTTGTACATTTTAGCCGATATAAAAAACTAGCTATATTCAGTTTAGAAGGGAAAATTTACATTAAAGCTGATGCTTGGTTTGCACCAAATGCAGTACACTGTCACTTGCTCTTATTTACTCGGGGATGTTTTCCCCTAACACAATTTTTAGTTTGAGTTCAATTATTTGAACTGGCGTGGTTTAAGGCAAATTCTGCATGTTTGCAGCAAATTTGTCGCACATTCACATCGTTCACGCCATGTGGTGTGAATAGGGTATATGCAGAGCTGGTGTTTTTCAGCCACAAAATAAACCTCTGGTAAATGGTTATCGTGACAATTTTTAATTTTGTAGGGTTCCTTTTGCAGCATCGATGTTGTAGTGTAATTAAAGATTAAGCAGTTAAATAGACTTATAGCACAGGTGTCAAACTCACTTCCAAAAGGGCCGCAGCTCTGCACAGTTTAGTTCCAACCCTAATTAAGCACACCTGATTAAACTAATTGAGTCCTTTAGGCTTGTTTGAAACCTACAGGTAAGTGTGTTGGAGCAGGGTTGGAACTAAACTGTGCAGGGCTTCGGCCCTCCAGGAATTGAGTTTGACACCCCTGACTTATAGCATTCGGCTGTAAAAAGAGATGAAAGACTCGAGTGCCGTCAAGGATTAGAATATGAGAAATTCTTCCTTATTATTTTGGCATGGCACAGAACAAGAGTTAAGTGCTTCTTGTTCACTCTGAGACCCACTCTATATTGGAAATCAATCAGGCAATGAAGATCGTTGATTTTTAAAGAAATCAGATCTTAAACGCTGCAATATTTTAATGGCATGACAGTTCACCAGAAGTGCTTGAGTTGACTTACTGAAAATTAAATGCCCTTATGCATATACCCAATATGCCTCCATTTGCATTGACTTAGCATATATTTTACTTGTGTGAATTTTTAGTTCTGCATTTGGTGTGAACCCAGCATAAACCTTGAAACTTGACACTAGCCCATATTTAGTATATTCAACCTTTGCTTTTGACATCCTCCTTTTTGATAATCTTGGTTATAAAACAACAACAGACTTTCAACTGGCACAGGCTACTTTGTTTTACAGCGTAACGTGTTTGTCTGTATCCTCCAGATTTTGTCCTATCGCTATAGGATGAAGTTGTTTTGCTATGGTGGCGTAGAGAGAGAGGGAGAGAGAGAGCTGAGACACTGGTTATGATTCCTTGAATGTTCTGACTGACTGACGTCGAGAGCACAGAGAATGAGCCAGAGTGCTGGAAGAGACGAGTTAATAAAGCAGTGGAGTGAAATCCTCTAAATGCACTATACAAGCACATCTTGAGGTGATTATGAGTGACAATTAATGAAGCTTGACAGCCTTTATGAGCAACAGAAATAGGCTAGGTACACATTTTAGTTACAGGCCTGTAGTGTCATAATGTGTTATGATCATGCCGAAGTGGGTCTGTTCTTTGTTTTTTGTTTTTCTTTAACTCCTTATTAAAGAGAGACTATAGTTGTATGTCGATGTTTTGTTTTTATGTTTCATTGTAAGTAATGACCTTACGGATTCAACGATAAGCTAGCTTGAATATCTTTCTTCCATTCAGTACAGTTACAAATGTTTACAGTATCTGATTAACCAAATAGAAGATGTGTTTTCAGACGTGCTCTGTCCGCTCTGTCAGACGCCGTATCTTGTCTTTAATTTGTGCCTCTATTTTTTTAAACTTGACCATTTTGTTTTCCTTCTTTGTTCACTTTAAATGGTGCTCCCCATCCCCACGTCTTATGAACTAAAAAACCTTTTATTTAAAAGTATGGAAGCCCATTTCTGCCACTGACTAATAAAACATCAAATAAAGCAAAATGAAAAAGTCAGAATTCTGAGTTATTAAGTCAGAACTTGAAATTTTGACTTTAAAACTTGGAATTCTAACTTTAAAACTTGGATATGACTTCAAAACTCGGAATTTGGACTTTAAAACTCGGAATTCTGACTTTGTAACTTGGAATTGCGACTTTATTAGTCAAAATTTTGAGTTATAAAGTCAGAATTTCGAGTTCTACTTTATA